AATTAGTCGTTGCGTCAAATGATGAAATTTTGCTAGTTATTGACGCATACATCTAAATTCTCGGATCATAAAGGTTAGTACACAATACGTTATTATTTGTTTAACGTTAAGTATTTACTTGCGCTAGAAAACGAAAGGTTTTTGTAAAACAAAATGTAACAATTTGAAAAGGTCTACCAACTATTATATAATACATAATTAATATCTACTTAAAATTATAAAGATTTATATGAAACAAGAAAGTATAAAATAATTAAACAATTGCAGAACTACCAACAATTATGCAAACGGACAAGTTGTAATTTTAGTTGTTAGTTGTCTTTAAGTATGAAGTTCGATACTTAAAATTTATGAAAATATCACTAATGTTATACAGTTGGTATACTTGAAAAATATTTATGTACTACATAATGCATTGTTTTAGCATCATAACGAAAAAACTTGGTATTACTATTTTTTGTAATTATTGTATATATTTTAAATTAAACAAATTATAAATTGAATGAACTTAACTAGAACTATAACTGTCAGAGTTTGAGTTACAATTAAATTTATCCGAACGTTATAAATTGAACTTATTAGTTTTAATTTTTTTCTGTTACTAATTACCTAAATTTATTTCAATATCTATCATGTACACATCATGAATATCATAAAATAAATAAATCCTTACATAACATCTACTGCTTTTACAAATTACTTCATGACCCAAAAAAACTGAATGTGCTCCAAATGCAAAAAAAAATCTAATAAATGTGCATTCAAAGAGTTAATATCAACAAGCCCACGACCAACCAAGCCTTGAAGGATATTAGATACTGTATCGCTGATAATCAGCCCCAGTTATGCCAATTTCGTCAAAAGAACGTAATTATATCAATAAAGCCGAAAAGAGCATTTATCAGACGTGTTATTTCATACACGTCTACGAATTTCGATACTTTTTAAACAAAAAATTGTGTTTTATCTAAAATTTAGATTATCCACTCTTGTTGGGATACCCTTATAACTATATCTTATTTAAATAATGATTCTTAATCACTCGCCAATTTCTCGAAAACTTAAACATGAAACAGTATTAAAAATTATGTGATTATTGAATAACTGAAAACATTTTATTTTCAGCTTTAACTGTTAACCTATTGTAAACATCGTCTTCCATCTTACGTACTTGTTTCATAGCAATCCAAAAACAGAGAAATTTTTCATTTTGGCTTTTTGTTTGTTTATTTATTGTTAGTTTTCAAAATATTGTAGCATCATTAATTTTACGGATATTCCAATAATTAGACTAGAAACTATTATAATTTGCCTCGAATATTGTTAAATTGAAAATGTAACTTTGTAGAATATAAAAGCTATGCTCCTCTATACAATTTGAATTTTCTGAGGCAGGTCAAGATTCAACTATGAGTAAAGACGGTTGTAAACTCGATGGGAGAGACGGGATTTTGGGCAAATGAGAACGGTGGTGATTCTCTTCAGCAAAACAGAAGAAACGTATGCTCTTGAGGAGAACAGAAAGAAAACGAGTGAATTCCTCCTCTCAGTAAAAGGAAGTGGCGCCTAGAACCTTCCCAGGTCAGGAACTTCACGCCCAGATGGAAGTATAGAACAAAAGTTTATAATATTAATATATTATTTTATTATTGGCCAAAAGGCTATAACAAATGTCTTCCAACGTAATAATTATACAATAATATTTATTGCTGGGGACCAAGATTTAGTTATTGTTAGTACTATAATAAACTAATAAGTAGTCACATGTTACCAGGCGCATCCACCATTCATTCAATCATCCAATTACAATTATAAGTTTCATTGTGTTTTATATAATTTTTTCTCTCCAGAAAATATACAATTATTGTTAATCACCAAATGCGTTGAAACATTTCTAAATTTGATTTGAATTTCTGAGAAATATATTAAAAAATAATTATATGTAATAGATTTCTTAATTATTCAATAATATAATACCATTTATCTGAATTCATTTAACACTTTTCATTTAATTAAAACATAAAAAACGATAATAATAATTATTACATTTATTTGTATACATGTTAAAGTCGTTCCAATATAAAAAAATCGGTTAACGAACATAATTCGTGTAAAAACTATCCGAATTGTTCGTTAACCGATTTAAAAAGTAAGGTCAATCGATCTATAAGGTATTCATTATTCGAACATGAGTTTGTCCAAACAAATGTTCTTTGTTAAGCGATTTGTTCGAAATCCGAACTGTTTTTAATCGATCACTATATTGAAATAAATAGTAAATGTGTAAAGTAATTAACAACTAAAAACATTCATACTAAATAAGTGCTCAATGTTACAAAATCAATAATTTAATAAAAAAAAATAATAATTACAAAGTGCGGCAGAAATAATGAAAAGGTAGTAAGGTTTCCAAACTTGTATCGGCCATCAAAGCCACCATTTGGACGAAATATTTTTAAAACTTAAAGAAAAAAATATGTTTTTTATATCTACATTTGGGAAATGAAAAGTTCTTGGTAATACCTTGTACTATTTTTTTTCAATCTCCATATGAAATTTGGGAGTTATTTCTGCCGCATTCTGTATATTCATTGGTTTCATTGAAGTCATTCCAATACAAAAAAATGAATTATATAGTAAAATCAACAATTACAAAATATGTAAAGTAATTGTAAAAAATATCCTCAAATACGTACTGAATATAACAAAATCGATGATAATTTAATGAGAAACAAATATAAATTTCTATCATCTATATTTCCAACAAAAAAAAAACAAACAAAATAATCCATTATTCAATTACTATGTTTGTGCTTTAAAGGTTTATTAATTTCAATTATCAATGCCTCGTTTGTCGTCGTTATTTTATATTCTCTCTCTCTCCATTTTTTTTTCATGTTGATTCGCTCAGAGCCTCCCCCAGTTTTTTTAATTATTTATTTTTTTTGTACGTCGGCTCTGATCCAATTAAACGGGATAAATTCGCTATTTATTCAGTATTGAATTAAACGTCCAGAGAGAAAACACATACAAAAAAAAACGAGAAAACAAAAGAGAGAGAAAAAAAAACAGTTTCGAACATTCCCTCTTTTTCGCTCATTCAAAGCGGGCGTTGTGTATATATATTCTTTTCGCATTTTTTTAACCGCTTATAATTCCAGGTGGAACCACCCCCTCTTTTTTTTGTTTGTTTTGCTTTTATCCGCCCTCTTGCTCGTTGAAAGGGAGGGAGTGGAAAAGTATGAAATTCAATAATCCGCATTTTTCAATTAGCCACACGAATTTTCGGCCAATTTGCAACTTGTTGGCCGAAACCTTCTCTCTCTCTCTCTCTTGTTTTATTTTTATTTTTCGTTTGTTGTTTTGTTCCGTTTCGTCTCTGTTGTTTCGACCCCGTTCGTTTGCTTCCGCGGCACGCTTGAATGGAAATTGCGGGGGTGAAACAAAAAAAAACGCGCACACCGGAAACGTCGAAACGTCCACTCGTTGTTTGCAATACGATCCGCAATTATTATTTAATATCGCGTGTACTCGGACGATTTTCGTTTTTCTTGTATTTTCCATTTTAATTTTTCGGTCCTCTTTCACTCTCTGTTTATTTTTTTTTGGTTGGGTTATGCCTTGGTTGTATATTACGCTCGACGGGCGAGGAACGTGCAGACCGGAACGGCATTATCATTATTAAATGTCATTAGAAATGTACAAACGGAGGCGGCGGCGGCCGCCACTTATGTGTATAACTGCGGGTCCATTATAAATAATTTTCTGTGGGGGTTTTGTTGTTCTGGTGGCAACCCTGGCCGGCCCTTGCTGCGAAGAAGAGGGGACGGTTGGATAAGGACGGCGGGGGAGTTCCTGGTAGGCCCTTTAACGCCGCCACCGCTAACCCTGCTCCAACACATATTTCATCTTCTCGCACCGAAAACCACAATAGAAACAGCGAGGAGTAGGTGGAGAATAAGGAGGGTTGTTCACCGTTCTCTGTACAACCTCTCACGCGAATTACCAAAAATTTAATTAGCATCCAAACGCTCTCGAGTCTCTCTCTCTCTCTGCTTTCTCTCCTTTTCTCTCTTTTAACCCACCACTTCGTAAAACACAGACCAGTAATGAGCTCTTCAGAGTACATAGTTTAATCATAATTCGCGTACAAATTTAGCCGCAGGTCCTTTGCTCTCCTCCCTCCTAACTAGCGCGCATTACCTTTAAGGGCACTTGCTTTTCTCTTCTTTGTTTTTTTTTAAACTAAAAACCACTCGACAAAATTCAAAACTTTGCAACATCATTAATTTTACGGATATTTCAATAGTTAAATTACAAAATTATTATGTTTTGCCTCAAAACTATACAAAGTTCAGATTAATAACTTATAAAATTACAAAGCCATTATATTTATATAATAATTACATAGCTATACTCATCTTAATTACATAATTTAATAGCTGAAAGCAAAATATTTTCTTGTAATAAAACACGTCTTTTCGGATTTATGGTTATATACCAAATTACAATAATTGATTAATTGAGAATCTTACTATCAAGCATTCACTATTTTCTGTAATTAATTTAAATCCTTTGTAGTATTTATCTTGTTAGTAGACAAACCAAATTATTCATGTAATTCCACTAAAATATTTTTTTATATTTTAGTCATAATATTAAAAAAAACTAACATAACTTGAAAACAATCGTGTGTCAATGCTTATTTTTTACAACTACTTTCAATTTTTTTTTACTTTGATCTTATTATAACATAAAACTATGTATGATTATTTGTTAGATTTAAATAAGGTTTTTAACACTAAACCTACTACGGTCAATTTGATCGTCTTCATTTTTTTTTTGTAAAACTTTCACATATTTGTGCAGTATTTATTGAAATTATATGAAAAATAGAATTTGTTGACTATTATTTATGTTTAATTGTAAGTATACAAGAAGTGTCTGAGATTCAGTGTTAAAAAAAACTTTGAACATTTTACAAAATACAATGCCATGTGTCAAATAATAGAAATGTTTTATACGAAGGACCAAAGTGCACGGGTGAAGGAAGAAATCGTTTTTGGCGGTTTCAAGATGTTTTTTTTACTACATCTCACATATCGCTTACACTATATACTTAGAACTATGGTAACTTAAGACTCCTTTTCCATGCTTAACTCTTCCAAGCTAAGCTTCTTCGACAACTTCATGGTGTACATTGTGCCACCTTTCATAACAACTGTTGCGCTGAAACAAGAAAACTACACATATTTTGTGCATTTAATCATCCTGTACAGTACACTTTCATACCTTTGTCAGTTTTATTAGAGAATAATCTTATTATTCTTATTATTCCAAGTTTTAACTAAAGTTTGTCTTATTTAGGAATTTATCATTATATTAATATATAAATTATTATAATTTGCTTATATCAATGCTAGAATCCAAACTGCACTTATTACACTTATAAAATAATTTTCGGAAAAAGTAATTAACGTTTTCTATCATAAAAACTGCTACGCCATCTATCGAATATTAAAGAACCAATCCTACTTGGTTCAATGTATCATCTAAGTGTGGTACACCTTTGCAGTTTTAATAGAGAAAATGTATTATTTATTACATATTTTGTAGATTACTCATTAATTTAATCTATTCAATTATTATAATTTGTATATATAAATGCTAGACACAAAACTTAACTTATTACACTTATAAAACAATTTTAGGAAAAATATTAATGTTTTCTAGTACAAAACCAGCAACGCCATCTATGAAACATTAAAGAACCAACCCTACTTCATTCAATTAAACATCCAGTGCGATACATTTTCATACCGTTATCAGTTTAATTAAAGAAAATTCACGATTTGTTGCGTATTTTGTAAATTATAATGGAAGTTCTAATTATTTAGTAATTTCTCATTATTTTACTGTCTTCAATTTCTTTAATTATAACTTCAACGCTGCAATCACATCTTAACTTATTACATTTAAAATAAATAAAATAAATAAACATTTCCAAGTTTTCCATCTATCAAACATTAAAGAACCAAACCTACTTCGATCAATTAACCATACTGTGCGGTACACTTTCGTACCTCTGCACGTTTTATTACAGGAAAGTTCTTAATTTTTGTTTTATTATCGTTTCTTTTATAAATGCTCTGCGGAAAATTAACAGTTTTTTATGGTCACGTCGATTCCGTCCGCGTGCGGATCGTTTATTTTTCCCAAAGGATGGAAAGAAGACAAAAAAAATAAAGAAGCTCCAGTTTTCCCCCTTGCTCGAACACATACATACACACACAGAGACCACCATAAATCTCTAACGAGGAATTAAGTCGGAAATTAAATGATTTATAAATGCGAAAAGTTTTCTCCTCGTCTTCTCCTTTACCTCTCCCCCGCCTCTTCAATTTTATTATTAATTATGTCGCCAGAGGGATCACGCGCGCACCGCTGTGTTGCTCTTTGCGTTTTTTCCCATAGTTTTTCTTCGTGTATTTTTATTTATTTTTTCAAGAGTTTTCCTCGGATGTTTCTTCGTCATGGGATCCCAGGCAGCCGTTGTGCATAAAGAAAAGTGGAACTCGCCGATCATGTAATACTTGTTTTTTTTTGTATTTTTTTTAGTCCCGTTAACTTTTGTTGTTGTTGTTGCTATTAATAAATGAGCAATAAAAGGAGAGAATCCCGAACATCCGTTTTTCGCCTGTCGCTGTCGTAACCAGGCACGGTGATATCGTAGGGGGCGACGGACGTGGAAAAATTGTTGAATTTCTCCGTCTCTTTCTCTCATTTTCCAAGAATTTCTATGTGTATGTGTGTGTAAATGAAAGAGAAAGAGGGAGAAAATGGAGGTCGCGTGTGCTACGAATTAGCGAGAACGAGATAAAGATATATAACTAATATTGTGGGCGAGAAAAAGGCCGGATAATCGAGTGACAACTCGTACCAGGCGATGTGTTTCGTTTTCCATAGCGGAGGAAGGGACGAGAAAGAGAGAGAAAGGAATGAAGAAAAAGGAAAAACGATCGCTGATATTCATATATATGTATACACGGAAATGGTGAAAGAGATAGAAAAACTTTTTTTGAGGGTGGAGGAAGTTGGGAAAGCGTGAAATATAGTACATTACCTCGCTTGCGCCAGGCGGGAATCATCATCAGAAATAGAAGAGAGAGAGAAGAAAAAAGAAAATACAACAATTTCTCCCCCATCATCGCCGTTCGGAACTTAACGATAACGAAAACTAAAGTTTAATTACTTGCCACACGGTAATTATTTCCGTTTTCCCTCTTCTATATTAGTAGTATACGTGTACATTAAAGACGTACACATTTATATTTACCGACCAATCAAGGTGGTTTTCCTCCTGGGATCTGGTTTTTCGCCGGAAAGTTCGGTGGAGCAACAACAATAAAAGTTAATGAAGTAAGAATCGTGGAAAGCAATTCGAACGGTTTGAATTTATTAATCTTGCTACAGCATTAATAACTGTAATTATAATGTTATTAGTTTGGTTCTTGTTAAATTTCATGCATCCGTCCCATCAATCGCGCTCGTTCGCCGTGTTTCAATTGTCTCTTTCATTTCATGGATTCTCTTTGTCGGGGAATTCCGAATCAATCGAGAATTACTGCTCGAACGGATGGAGCGCTACCCATTAACCCTTAATTCTAGCATTCGCGTCCTTAAAAACCCTATAAATATCTGCCAATTTATTTCGAACGGCACCGCCATCTCTACACCAAACTAAAATCATTATCGAGTATTAACTTAAACTTTTCTAATTGCTTAATTCATTTTATATCCAACATTCTCAATAAATATAAAATGAAGAAATAAACTAAAATATTTTTTTATGTCGTGTAATTTTATTCACAATCTGTTCATCAATCCCGGTGGATAATTACCATTATGACGATGTCACTGTCCATCTGTGATGAACGATGACCTTATTGCTGCTAGCACCGAGGGGGCTCACAAAGGGCCTGGCTTGACCAGGATTCGAACCGTCGCCGGTTCGATCGTGGGTAGGGCAACTTAAACATTCGGCTATTAGTCGCCCTAAACTCAAATATACACCTAATTTTGTCCATATTCGATACACTTTCAAAAAAATGCTTTACTGAATTAAATTAAGCTTTACTAATATAAAATATTTTCAATTCATTAGGTTTTCTTTATTAATTAATAATATTAAAAAAAAAATAGAAATATTTAAGTCGTCAATCAATATTAATGCCACTAATATGTAAACAAATAATTATTTTTTTCTTTAATTTGTTGGTTGGCTATCGACTTGTAGGTTCCACTGCGATTCCATCTGCTGCTATCCTTAACACTATCGTGGTCCATCGACTTGGCAGGAAGTCCATATGCTGAACCTCATTCATTTGACTGTCCATTTATGATGAACGATAGCACTATAGCTGAAAGTACCGAGGGAGCTCACAAAGGGCATGGATTCGAACCGTCGTCCACGAGACCATGGATAGAGTGACGTAACCATTCAGTCATTAGTCGCTCGAAATAAATCATTTGAAAAAAAACTTCTTCATTTAGTATTTTGCATCCATTCCGGATTTCAAATCTAGAATTTACGCTTGATTTTTGTATAAGAAAATAATACCTCGAAAATGACAAAACTGCAATAAGAAATATTAATTCAATATTTAACATTTTCAATAGCTTAATTAACTATATGCAATGTACACACTAAAATTTGCATTTGATTTATTGTAATGTGAATAAAAAAAAAGCTTTATTAAAATTAAAAGTTTTCTTTTAATTGCTTTTAATTTAACAAAAAAAAAACAGATTCTGTTATAAATATGTATTTAAAAAAATGAATTTCAACAATTTATGCAATTTTCAATGATGTAAAGTTCATTAAGTCCGGAAGAGATGAGAAGAACGTGATACTCTGAAGGGAGCAGAAAGTAAGAGAATTAGTTACTCCATATGTCGAATAAACTGGAATTTTATACAAAAAATATGTCAAATATTAAATTAATATTAAACATTTTTAATTACTTAATTAATTGTAATTATAAACATTTTTAATGTATAAACTGTGTAAGGTCGATAAAATAAATTAAGCTTTAAATTGCTTCATTTATGTTGTATACATTTTACATTCCTAATCTAATAGTTATACCTAACTAAATTATTCAAATAATAATATTTTTAAATAATTATTTGGATTATTAATTTCATATTTCTCTGCTTAATACTTTTTCATGTGCATTTGCTTTAATCATTATGATTAATCTTGAATTTACCCCAACCTTCTTTTTGAATGATAGATACATTCATTTAAATAATTATATAGTGGGAAATGACAAAAATGCTAATTCATTACTAAAAAATAATTGTATGTTTTACGCATAAAACATTTTTAATTAATTATTTCTTTTAACCTTTGTTTTATAGTGCACACTTAATTAATTTTAATATCGATTTCGGATTATTTTGACTCAATTCCTTATTTTTACAATTATTTATTTCATTGATATCGTTGTACAAACTCATAAAAATGTATTTTTAGAATATTTTAAAGATTATTTATAAATATTCATTTCCTTTTTATGCTTGAAACATATTTTTATATATTTATTTTAGTAATATATAAAATATATATTTGTAATAAATTATTGAATAAATGTATAAATTATTATCTATTTAATTATTTTTATTATTTTTATTTTATTTATTTTACATATTTTAAACTTGCTCGTAAAATCATTACAGTTTTTTTTGACTTGATACATACTTCGATTATTATCATTTAAAAATAATTTATAATTGCGTTCATATCTTATTTATAACAAAAGAATGATTCTATTTACCCCTTACCTCTTTGATTGGTGCACATTGTACCACCTTTTGAACAAGCCTAGTGAGTTTTTATAATTTTCTAGGAAATGTCCAGGAAGATCCTTTAATTAGTTACTATGTCAAAGGATGAATCTTGATAGGCCATACCATCCGATGTTGATTCAGTTGACAAAGTTGTCTGATTCAGTTGTCTAGTGTTGGGTCTAGAAATTTAGGAATTTCTGGCCCTTTACGGAGTTAAGCGGTTTAATGCATTGTATGAAGTGGCTACGTATTTTTGTTGCTAGCGTATTTTATTATTCATGATGCGAATATATTCGTCACAAGCCCTACGCAATACAATAGACTATGACGAATATATACGACATCACCACTTAAGTGGTTAAGACCAATCATTTTTT